GGATCTAGTGATGGCTATGCATGGTATTCATTGAATGGGTTTGTCAATTAATTTGATGAATTATTCTTATACTTGATGGGTTTTTCTACAATTTAATTCATGCTTGTAGGTAGGTAGACAATCTTTACTTGATTTGATATTCCATGTCTTATTATTGCAAATTCCATGGTTCTCTCGATTGATGTGTGCTACAATTATGACTAGTTTGATGGGTCATGCTTAGAATTTATGGGTTGTGATATATTTAGTTTATTTGTCGGTTAAGTAGACAATACATTATTGAATTTGATGGTCTATGCTTAATATTGCAATTGGTAGTCACATTTTGTTCACAAGAAGGTTTTCCCCAAATTAGTTAAAAGTGTGTGGTTTGGTGAACGAGTTTAGTGGCGATTCCAATGCACCCCAAGACCTCACTTCTCATCTCTTAAATCCCTATCTCAACTTAGTTTATTTTAATTGCATTTTAATTAATTGAATTTTTTCTCATTTGCAATCTTGTGATCCACTAGAGTTGAAGTTAAATTCCAACACGTATAATCCCTTAGGACGATCCCTACTCACTCTTGCTACATTAGTAGTAGTAGTGGTAGTAGTTTTTATAAATTTAAACTTGACCTAAAAGACTTTTCTTGAACTGCACATTCACTATATTATTTTGGCGTATACAAGCGGCCATCGTCAAGGACTCTTGTAGAACTATTAATGTTATATACAATTTCTTTTAACTTGAATTATTATATTTATGGTGGTGATAATTCTATATTCTTGTTAATGACTAATTGTGATTATTTTATAAGCTTATTGTTAGAATGTTAAGAATTAGTATATAAAGCTTATTGTTGAGGCATGATTTAAATTGTTAAGTTGGTGATATTGTTTTGTACATTATATCATGATAAGAACTTGTCATTTATTATGCCATTCTAGACTTGGAACCCTAAGACATGGTTTGTGTGGTTTCAAAATACTTGTGCATGGAAGGTGGTATATATACCTTGATATTTGTGTATAAGTTTTGAACTTGATATATTTTGGATTCTCTTGGGACATTGTTACAAGTGACATGGTTAGAGTTTGGCTCTAGTGCGGGGGGTATGAGTTCTCCCCATTTATAATGCATACTAGGGTGGTATTCCCAGCGGGTTAATGCCCAGAATAACCGTTTAGGTCTTGGCTTTATTCAAGATTTGATGTCCAAGTTTTCCACTATTTGATTTTGCATTCATTTCCAAGATGACAACCAATGCTTAATTGTGACTTGTGATTTTGGTTTTTGGCGAATTGATGTTGCTAAGTACATTGATATGGATATTGTGTTGTGATAGAATCATTACATTAAGTTTAAGATGATCCCTTAGAACACCTTAAACATAGACGTTAAGTGGAATGCTCCCTTGTATTCGTCTATATTAATCTTGCAATGATATTGAAACTTTAGGGTATACGCATATGTTTCTTCCTACAAGTAACTTGATTACTCACCCTAGTTGTGTGGTTTATTTTACAGGAAAGGAGACCATGTTTTCGGATGCTCATCATCCATAGTGGCTTATGAGCAATTTGGAATATTTTTGTATATGGACATGCACTTGTTTAGCATGTTTTACCTTTGGATGTTATACTTTTATATACCATGGATGTATGGTATTTTAGAAGCTAAGATGGCTTCCTTCATGTAATGTGTATCTAAGCATACCTTTGAAGCTTATTTTGTATATATAACATGAGGCTAAGGGCTATTAAACTTCAAGTTTGCATTTATGTTTTTAAAGCTCATGTTTTGCCCTAATAACCTATTTTATGAAAATGGAGGTTTGAAAGGTTAAATTTTGTAAATGGATTAAAATGAGGCCATATGCTATTGTAGTGCATCTAAAACACATTTTACGTTTGCAGGCATGCTCACATTTCATAAAACTCTTAAGTTGCAACTTTTGAACTATTTTTGGAATGATTTATGGATTTTTATAAAAAATTCATGCAAGGGATTAAGTTCAAGCTTCCCTTTTGTTTTGGCATGTTATATGGGCTTGATTAAGGCTGGAAAATGTTTTCAAACATGTTTTGGATCAATTGGAATACATGCATAGCATCAAGGTTGGACTGGGTGAGTTTTCCACACATTGCAACAGCAGATAGCAGCAAGTTGTTGTCTGCTATGTCGGTTGGCTGATCAGCCGGCTGACACATGCTCGAGGAGCCATTCCAGTAGCCTTGTTAGTGAAATCATTGTTTTGGTCGACTGATGATAGGGGTTCGGCCGACCAAAGGTTGAGGTTCGGCAGGCTGATGGTTGCATTTCGGTCGACCGATCCTCCCTGGAACCATCTCACTTCATTTTTCCTTAGACAGCTTCTTGCATCAAGTTCAGAGGGTCATAACTCTTTCATTCCTAATCCAAATTGGGTCGTTCTTGAGTCTAAGTTTAAGAGCTTGAAGTTACCTTTCCGAAGGTACTAACCACACATCAAAACTCCACTTATAGTGAGAGTTATTTCAGTTTTAGTGAGATAGGTCTGTGACATTTCTTAAATGGAGAATGCCACTTTGTTCTTTTCCATATCTTTTCCGTCCGGACTCCGAATCAAGCGATTCTTAAGTCCAACTTCATTCATTTTTTATTGTCTCTTTAATGGTATGCACAGTAGCATCCATTTTAGTTTGAAATGACCATTTTACCCTTGGTTCATTTCTTTTCGGGTTTGACATTTTTGCTTCATTGATTAGCTTACTTGAGTTCCATGGTTTCATAGGGAGTTAGTCTGGTGCCTTAGGGATGATATGCATCTCTAGAGGACATTTATCATATTTCGCTTCCGCATTTCGAATCCGGGTCATCTTTTGGTCATCACTGACGCACCTGGTTTACAAAACTTGAGCCGTCACAAAACTTGTATAATTTAGGATAGTATTTAATTTAAAACTTCTATAATAATCCACTTGTCTTCCCTCCTTTCTTCTGCAGGCGGATAAAAATTTATAAAGGAGGAAAGATGTGTCATCCTTCTTATTTTTCTTTCTTTCCTTGTTTCAACTCTACCGAACAAAGGAAGTTCATTCTTTCCTTCCTATTTTTTTCTCCACATCCCTTCCTTCATTCCTACCGAATATAGCATAAAGGCAAGACTACCATGGTGAAGGTGGTGACCTAATGAGGCAGAATGAGCCAAAGTGATCTTCATAAGGGAGAACATTCCCTTTTGTGGATGGTTACACTATATTTTTATGAGTTTGATGCAGTCTATGTGTGTTGAAAGCATAAGAGAGCATCCCATTTGTGGATGGTTTTGAGGCTTACTCAAGCCTCTGTGTAAATTTACTAACTCTAATGAATGTATCATCATTTTTTCATGCATTAAATTAGATTCGAGAGATGGATCAAGATCATTGATGAAAATCCCTCTATTAATTTTTGAAAACCTCTAATTCCTTAGCAGTGGGGCGGGGATTCGAAAGGTCACCCATCCCGCCCAGTCCCGTTTATAGTAATAAATTATAATTTTTTATTATAATTTATTGTTAAATTAAAAAATATTAGGTATATATTAAGTAAACCTTAGCTAATCCTATTCCAATAATTTTATATCCTTGTATATTATTCTTATTTGATAACCTTTATATATTATTTTGATGTTTCTACAATAATATTAAATCTCAAGTTGAAATTGAGAATTTGAGTATTGATCTTATCAAAAGAGAATGAATTATTATTATGGTTGATTTTTTATTTTCTTTTTATCTTGGCAAACTAAGGGGAGGGGGATTTGAACATGGGCACACCTATATAAGGAGTTGGACGCTCTATCAACTAGGCCATTGGATAATGCCTTATGGTTGCAAAAAAAAAAACATTATTTACCTTCGTTAAATTCATAAGACAATTATAAAACTCTTCTAAACCCATCCCAGCCTTTGCCCAATCTCGTTTAATAAACAATTTTGGGTTAGAATGGGATGATATGTTAAATGAGGACGGGAATGAGGTTGGCATTCCCCACCCCAAACCGCCCCTTTATCATCCCCCCCCCTCTCTCTCTATATATAGATGTATGTACATCTGGGGTTTTTCGTTATAATCTAATTTTTTTCTCTCCATTTTCCATAGAGATAGACGGGGATGAGATTTGAAATTCATCGACGAAGATGAGAACTAGAATAGGGGTGACGATGGATCAAATCGAATTAAATCGAGCTAGGCATTAAACCTAATCCATTCCGATGCACACGGACTGGTGAAAATTGAATCCAATTCAATCCATACGTGACGAATTTGTTATACGGATTGGACATTTTACAAATAGCCTAATATTTTAATATTTAACTATAGCCTAATAAATTAATTTTCAACTATTAATAAAATTTATAAGTAACAAATCAGATCGGCTAACGGATGAGATTGGTTTTAAAAACCCTAATCCGATCAATGGACCTGTGAATTCCTTATTTATTAAGGGTGATGATGGATCAAATCAGACCGGATCGAACTAGGCATTGACCTAATCCAATCAGATCCCAACAGATAGGTAAAAAATTGAATCCAATTTGATCCATTACGTTACGAATTGGTTTTAAAGATTGGACTTTTTTTAAATAGCCTAACATTATAATATTTAACCATGACCCAATAAATATATTTTTAATTATTAAAAAAATTTAAAAGTAACCGATCAGATCGGTTTTAAAAATCCCAATCCGATCCATGGATCTGCCAAATTTTTTATGAGGTTAAAAAATCAATCCGATCTACCTGAAGAGGAAGGAGAACTTGAATACTTGCACCTTAGAAAGTTGGGCGTTCGACCAATTAAACTAAGCAGATAACAAAACAAATGAACACCCTAATTTAGAAGGAAAATCGTCCCGAATTTGAGACGGGTATGGGGACTCGGAATTGGTAAACGGGTGGAGTAGGGTTTACTAAATCCCGCCCCATTGCTATCAGTTCCTCATATATATTATAAAATATAAATAGTAATTCCGGGACTCGTCCGCAATTGGTCTATTTGGGGTTAGAATAGAATAGGAATAGAATTGCAAAGGGAGGAGGACGCAGAGCCGCCTCGATAAGAAACCTCATATCTTTTTCTTTCTAGGGTTCCTGGTTACCCACGCCGAGCATCTCCCACCGGCACGACGACCCCTGGAGGTCACTTCTCTCTCTGTGCGTGTGTGTCATCTTCTTTCTCTTCATTTTGGGTTAATCTCGTTTGTGATTCATCATCATGTTTCTGTTGCAACTTATTGGTTCCGATAAAACTCAGCGACAAGATTCAATCATACGTGTGATTTAACGTGATCGGAATGTTCGATAATGATTTTGATTCTTTTTTCTAATTCCTGATATTAACATAATGATGAACCTGTATCTATTCCTTCATTCAGATCCTGACAGAATTCAAACTAGAATTGTGATTTTCTAGATCTAATTTCAATTGTGCCTTGTTAACTGCACTAAAGTTTCGTCGTACAAATCTGGAAGCGATTTATGTAATTAAATAACACGAAACAGTCTGCATTTATCCAGGTTGCTTGTGAGGAGCCTCTTGTAAGTCATCATGGTGTCTTCAACTCCTTGCAGCACCGACACAGACTTGTTTGATTCCAGAACCCATCTTCATGAGTATGATAACCCTTTCTTCTCCAGAAAGAGGCTGAAGATGTCACACAGATCCGTGGGCAGTTATGACGGAGCTCCATCTTCCATGGAGCAAAACCAGAGGTATCAAGATATTGTTATTCTCTTGCTGATTTTATGTTCTCACTTATTTATTTATTTATTTATTTTTATAATATAAAATAAATAAAAATTTTCTTTGTTGGGTAAAGCCTGTTCAGAGGCTTGAATGAAGGTCACACGTCTTCATCATGCTCCAATTGCGATGGAGAAATTGGCTCACCTTCTGTGACGGAAATGAGCTGTCAGTCTAATGGCAATAGTGGCAATATTCCACAGCCTTGTGATGTTGGAGGGACTACATACCAGGACAAGACGTGCGCAGGATATGCTCCCTCTGTATTTGTGAGTGGATGGATGTATGTCAATGAACAAGGCCAGATGTGTGGCCCTTATATTCAGGAGCAGTTGTATGGGGGTTTATCTACTGGGTTCTTGCCGGAGGAGCTTTCTGTGTATCCCGTCGTAAATGGGACTATAATTAACCCCGTGCCATTGAAATACTTCAAGCAGTTTCCTGACCATGTTGCCACTGGCTTCTCGTATTTAACTGCAAGTGTCCCTGGAGTAAATGGGCCTACAAATTGTTTTCCGGTTTCTGATAGTGGTTTGCTATCAAATGGACAAGCTTTTGTTGCACCGATAGCCGTTGATTCTAACTCACAGTCTACATCCCAAACATGTGTCAACTACAATGATTATAGCTCCACACAGCAGATGCCAAACTCTGAACCAGCTAGCTTGACTGCATCTTATGCACCACCGGTATTACTGCTGTTAGTTTAGTAATTTTGTTCTGTCTTCCCAAGAAACTTGTATAATGCTAAATTATGAGAAGTAGTGCCATTCAAAATTTAAATCTTTAGGGTATAATACTATTTATTTATTTATTTATTTTTGCCTTTTCCTCTAAAAATCAGTCAATTGAAGAATCCTGTTGGCTCTTAGAGGATGATGAAGGGAACAAACATGGGCCTCACTCTCTCACAGAACTCTATTCTTGGCATCACTACGGATATCTTAGGGATTCAGTAATGGTAAGCTATATACAAATTAAGATCACCGTGATTAAAGTTTGTTATGTTATAAAATTTCATGGACCTATTCATGCTCAAGGAAAAATATCAAATGGGTTTAAATATGCAATGAAGTTTGGTTACATTCTGGATGAGCAACAAGAGTTTGTGGTGCCATGTCAACACAACTTTTTGGCTTTTCTGGTGCTGCATTCAGGGGCTACTCAGGCTTGTGCCAGGGCTCACACATACACACGTCAAGTAATTATGTGGAAAAGATCCTGGCATGCAGTTTGTGTAAAACTCATTGTCTTATTGTTTTGGTGCGTGTGCTGAAGTATTAAATATGTGATTTTACCTTTTGATAACTAAGGTTTTGGATAGTCTGCGTTCTGCTTTTAGAAGCAGTAAATGAAGTTGCACTATCTAATCAAAGAAGTCGATGGTGTTTGATCTTTTTATTTTTTATTTTATTCAAGATCGGAGGCTTTTCTGTCATGAGTTTTTAACAAGGAAAAAAGTCCAGGGAATCGATTTCTGATATCTTGTCAATGTGCGAACTTAGTGTACGCTGTGCAAGATGTTGCTTATATGGGGTTTGAAAGATTTTTCTGCTACCAAGATGTTTATTTTTATGGAGTTAGAAATATTGTTGCTAGATGAAGCTCTTGCCCACAGCCCACCCCATTTGGAGATAAGAAAATTTCCAACTTTGGTTATCTTATATCCCAAAATATCCTTGTCATCATCCTTGCCTCAATCCCGATCTAATGGTGGCCGCATGAATTTCTTCTATCTTCTAATGGGGTTTGGCCGCATGAATTTCTTCATTCACTTGGTGGCACGAGGAGAAGAGGGGTTTTGGGGTGTGACAGATGTTTTAGTCTTCTATAGGAGCATTACAAACAAGTTGTTGGAGTTCAAATGTTTGTATGTGGAGCAATGTGAATAATTGAATACTGCTATCGTTTTTCTACACAAATTATGGCTAATTTCCCTTAGTTTAGTAAGTTTAAATTTACATGAGTTATGCGGAAATGCTTTTGGTTAGCAATCAATACGCTTAGCAAATAAAGTACTTGCATTGTCTGTTTCTTGTTCAGTGTCAGAGCTACATGGTTGCAACAGAATGCAGGGTTGTGGCTTCAACATTTTTAATTGTATCTCATGTACAAAATTAGTTGATTCTTTCTCATATGTCTCTTTTGTTACGTGTAACTGAGAATGCTTCTTTTCATGGGTATATATTTTGCTTCATGATGATAATTCATTCTGTTTACTTTTTGATAAGTATCCATTCTGTTAAATTTTTAATAAGTATTCATTCTGTTTATGCTTGCTCTCATTCTGCTTTCTGATGATGCCGTTGTACAGGTATATCATGCTGATAATAAGTTTGGCCCCTTCACCTTGCAATCTATAGTAAGTACTTGGAGATCATCTGGTTCTGGAACTGTCTCTGTATATAATGTCGAATCAAATGATACTGGCTTTTTATCAAGCTTCCTGTCTGAAGTTTCTGAAGAAGTTTGCTCCCAACTACACTCTGTAATCATGAAAGCATCTCGTAGAGTCATGCTTGATGAGATTATAAGTCACATAATAGCTGAGTGTGTTTCTATGAAGAAAACCGACAGGCATCTTAAGTTTGAAGTGGCCAATCAAGCTGTTAAATCTGGCTCTCTGGATGGAAAAATGGTAATATATTCATGTTTTAAAAAAAGTTCTGATGATCTCATTTCTTCATTGCCTGAATCCTCTCTGTGGTGTTTTATGTGAACAGCCTGAAAATTTCGAAGGGAGGAATGACTATGCTGCTTCTGGGAGTGAAGCAGCAGTTTCCAGTAAAGTTTCTGACCAGAAATGTCTTACTAATGGAAGTCCTACAAAGCCCCCCTCAAGCATGAAATCTGTTGGAAGTTCTGAGAACATTTGGAGTGCATATTTAGCTGTCTATAGAGTGTTGTTTGATTCTTGTATGCAAGTCATGTGGAATGCTGTCTTTTATGATCCTATAGTGGCATATTCTTCTGCCTGGAGAAAGAGAAAAATTTGGTCTGGTCATAGTATTGCTGTTGAACAGCGCATTCGATGGACAGGATATGCTGGGAAGATTGAAAAAATACCTGCTGAACCTGTAAATTTTTGATTTGTTGATGGTTTATCTACTGTTTTTTGTTGTCTATATTGAACTGAAATCACTTCCAAAAATACACACATACACACACATATATATTGTACTGAAGTCCATGTCAATTGTTTACAGTTTCAATCAGAACCTGAATCTTCTGCTTGTGAGTTCGATTGTCCCCCTGGTTTCGAAAGAATGGCACCTGAAATGCATCTCCCCTTACCTATGGTTTCTTCATCTTTATTTGGGGAAGAAGAGTCATCTAAACAGGGCCTATTAGACACTGATGAAGATCATGATGACATGGTATACATTCTGGAAAGTGTAGAGAATGATCTCCATTTATCTGCAAAGATGTCTTTAGTTCAATATTTCAGCACTTTTGTTGAGGAGGAAGTGAGGAAACAAATTGACACTTCAGAAAATGGTGAACCAATTGAGGTAATGTAAACAAATATTGCCTAATCTTAAAATTATTTGCAGTATGTGTTCTTTTACGTTAAATAATCATACCTCTCGGGGCACTCGTCTTTTGCATCTTGTTTATGGTTTTATGTCTGTGCCAAAGTTTAGTTCAAAACTCATTGTCCTTGTGAAGAAGAATTATTCTTATATCTGCAGGTAACTGTTGGCTCTTCTGTTCACCACATTATTCCCGGGAGTCCTGATGCAAGTATACATACTTCTGATGATTCTCCAACTCCATCAGAATCAGCGAAACCATTTAATCAGGCTACCATTCCTGTATATGAAAATTCTCTGTCTAATTTTTTGTCAAATGCATTTGGTATACTTTGCAAGCATGCAGATGATGTGGTAAATGACCAAGAGATTGATGAGTTGCTCCCACCTGGATTTGAGGACAATTCTAGCCCACCTGTTCCATCAGGGACGCATAAATTTCGACCCTCCAGGCCAGACGAGTGCATTCCGAAGATTGGAGAATATGTCTCCATGGCAATGTGTCGGCAGAAGTTGCATGATGAAATACTTAGAGAGTGGAAATCATTGTTTGTTGACACTGCTCTTCGCGAGTACTTATTATCATGGCGTTCTTCAAAGGCACACTGTAAATCCGTTACTAGTGAGGTAGTTTTCTGATTTTTTTTCTTTTAGTTACTGTTGTTTACTTCCATGTTACATGGACTCTTCTTAATGAACCAATGCCTGAGCCCAACACACACCCCATTTGGGTATGGATATAGAATATGTACCTGTCAGAGTTGAAGAGAGAGAAAGACAATGAAGCACACAAGGATGCACGTACAAAGCCCAGAGGGCTACATAATCTTTATTTTGTTCTCTCTTAAGATTGTTTACAATGAGCACCTCTATTTATAGGTGAAAGAACAAAGCGATAAATATGGAAAATACATTAATGAAGGATTCATAAACTCAATCCCATAAATCACTCCAATCATATTTTATCATATACTAAAATCACTCCCACAATATTCTCAGAGCAATATTTTGTGGAGTAATTTAAGTTCCTATAATAATATTCTCCAACACCATCCCTCAAGTTGGTACACACAGAGATTTTAACTCAAGTGTCCAACTTGAAACTAAGTACGAAGTTGTTGAGAGTTCGAAAGGAGTTGCAAATATCCGAGACGAGTGATCCGAAGATCTGAGACGAGTTGATCCGTAAATCCGAGACGAGTTGATCCGTAAATCCAAGACGAGTATAGAGTAGGGTATGGTAAACCTGCTCTGATACCATGTCAGAGTTGAAGAGAGAAACAGAAAATGAATCACACAAGGATACACGTACAAAGCCCAAAGGGCTACATCATCTTTATTATTTTCTCTCTTAAGATTGTTTACAATGAGCAAAGCGATAAATATGGAAAATACATTATTGAAGGATTCATAAAATCAATCCCATAAATCACTTCAATCATATTTTATCATATACTAAAATCTCTCCCACAATATTCTCAGAGCAATATTCTGTGGAGTAATTTAAGGTTCCTATAATAATATTCTCCAACAGTACCCAACAGGTCTGGTGAGACATGCTATATAAATCTCTCTTATCATCTTCCTTCTGTTTCATTATTGTTTCAGAATACATGTCAATCATTCTGTTATGTAAAATATAAGAATTTTGAAAATATGAATTCTTTGGGAACATGATAAATCCAGCACTTAGACGCATACTCAAACCCAATATACACACTCGAGTCCAATTCCTTTGAAGTTTCTGGCTAATGCCATCTCTTTTTAGATTTCATACCATTGGTTTAGTAGTTGCTTATGTCTGTATCAGGACGGAGCACGCCAGACAATTAAGGAAAAACTTGATGATTCTTCTGCGGTACTTGATAAACCTAGGGAAAGGTCAAGAAATTGTCACAGTTCAGGCCCTTCAGAGGAAACTTTGGTGTTCAGGAATTATACATATTATCGCAAGAAGAAGTTGACACGTAGAAAGTTGGGATCTTTGTCTCAGTGTGCAACTTCAGGGGATGTTGGGTTACGAATTCAATGTGTCGAGAAGCCAAGGAAACAGGATACTTCTAGAAATGTGTCTGAGACCGCAGAAGTTGAACCTGTTATTGTGAATCATCAAAAACTTCGGCGAAATATTTGCCATACCAAATCATCTGTTGATGCTACTATGCACGGGGATCGCTTATCCCGTAATAAAGATGGTTGGAAATCAGTGAAGGCTGCTCATGCATCTCAAGGTAAAATATTTGCATGATTGTTTTGTGCTGGCGCTGCATTGATGTGTCAAATCTCTCAATAATATATTTTTTAAATGTTTGACTTAGTTAATGAGGTCAGAGGAGATGATTCAAAATGTAGCAAGGAGAGTGTCGCACTTTCCTCAGAGGGACCTGATGATGTTGAGACGGTTGCTAGTAAAAAATGCAAAGATGTTGAAAGTCAGGAGGTGCTCGCTGCTAAGTGCTCCAAAAAGTCACCAAAATGTTGGTATCATATCCCTGATCTTTTCTTTGTTCTGCATGTTATCCTAAATATTCAATTTCTGTGCTCGTCTAACAGATCCAGATCCTTGATTGTTCGGTTTGAATCAGGCTTTCGCACTTTTTTTTTTTTTTTTTACCGTTTCTTTGGATTGTTTGTTGTTGTATGCAGTAAATAAGGTAGCAAATCTGAAAAGGAACCATTCAATGGATGATTTGCCGCCAGTGCGCTCTAGAAAGGTTTTGAAACTAGCAAATAGTGCCGCCAAGCCAGAAGCACGTAAACAAGTTGGTACACAAAAGATCAAGACCAGTAGATCCAAAATGTCTAATCCTTGCCCCATATCTGATGGATGTGCTCGATCGTCAATCAGTGGTTGGGAATGGCATCAATGGTCATTAAATGCAAGTCCTGCTGAAAGAGCTCGTGTTAGGGGAATTCGTGGTCCTCATGCTCAATATATTGGTTCCAAGATTAAATCATCGCAGTCTTCAAATTTTAAGGGCCTTTCAGCAAGAACAAACAGGGTGAAGCTGCGCAACCTTCTTGCTGCTGCGGAGGGTGCTGATCTTTTGAAAGCTACTCAGTTAAAGGTCCAGGAGAATGAAACTTGCTTTGGCATGTCTTTATAGTAAAGTGATTTTTATTAAATTATCATATGTCTTTTGTTAGGCAAGGAAAAAGCGTTTACGTTTTCAGCAAAGCAAGATACATGATTGGGGGCTTGTTGCACTGGAGCCAATTGAGGCAGAAGATTTCGTCATTGAATATGTTGGAGAACTAATTCGTCCTCGTGTAAGCTTCACATCATCATTTCCTTTATTAGGAGCATAATGTTAGTTATTAAGCTTAATTGTAGTTACCCTTTTTTTTCATGTTTTCTTTCAATCTTTTCGTTTTCTTTCTTACTTATTCGGCATTGTGGCTTGATTAGGTTCTTGTTTAATTGAACAATTATTGTTTTAGGGTTTTTGATTCCAAAACCTTTTCTGATTCCATCAGCATGGTTTTTGGATTTCTCAGATATCTGATATACGTGAACGTCATTATGAGAAGATGGGAATTGGCAGCAGTTATCTTTTTAGACTAGATGATGGCTATGTGGTAAGTTAAACATGAGAGATGGAATATTATTTTAAGTAAGCCAAAATTATTTGATGTTTTTGCATCAGGTCATTTATGACATGCAGTAACTGGAACCTTATGGCTAACTGAACCAAAAAGCACCACCTGAAAATAAAATTGAAAAGGGTAGAGAAAATTCATTGTTTTTCTACTCTTCAGGCAACATTGTATGACTAAATGAACTTTCAATTTGCTTTCACCAAAGCCTTCTGACTTCCTCTGTCATCACAAAGACCCTCCTTTTATATTCAATACCCTTCTGTTTTGGCAAATTTTAACCTGAAGCAGCCAGCACTCAATACCGTGCAAGCTAAATTGTATGCCTTTGGCACTTGGAAAAATCTTACACTCTCAGGTCTCATCAGGGTGTAGTAGTCAGGTTTAGGCATTTTTATAAAACCTGATGAACATTTAGATAACTTCCAAATTTTTATTTTTATTTTATTTTAATTTTTTGGTAAATACATCCAAATTTTTATTATACTTAAAGAATAAAAAAAATAGTGATGATTTGTTCTGTAATATATATTTGATATATTTGTAGGTTGATGCTACAAAGCGTGGTGGGATTGCTAGATTTATAAACCATTCTTGTGAGGTAGTTGCATGAAGGAAATACCAAAGGATTGCTTTCAAATCTGAAATTGTCTTTCCAATTTAAAACCATTTTTTTTTGCAGCCTAACTGCTATACCAAGGTTATAAGTGTTGAGGGTGAGAAAAAGATTTTCATTTATGCAAAACGGCATATTGCTGCTGGCGAAGAAATTACTTATAATTACAAGTTTCCACTTGAGGAGAAAAAGATTCCCTGCAACTGTGGTTCCAGGAGGTAATGAATTGATAATATGTGGTTGTTGCTTGGGCATGTATGTCTCTAACTTTACGGTTTCAGTTGTGCCACCGGTTTTTTGGTTGTCTATGCAATAATTGGCAAGTCTTTCTCAAAGCGATTCTCTAGGAAAACAAGTAAATGAACTACCTGGAGGTTCTAGTCATTACTTCACTCAATTGTTGAAGTAAAGGCATGGATTATATCACAAGATAAAAAAACAGACATTTCTTGATTTTTAATTTATTCACTTTGAATAATAGATCTTAAAGTTTATAATCTTTTGGACTCTTTTTCTTTTTCCTAGCTACACGGAAGGATCATGCACAGGTAGATTATTTAGTGCATTCGGAGCTTGTTATATAAATGAAATGTTTGGCCGATTTCCTTTTAAAATCCATGACTAGTCCGTCCTTTATGAAAGGAAGTTTGGATGTGAATTTCTTCTTGGATTTACTGGATCAAGAATTCCAAGATTTTCATTATACATTGTTCATCAAATATAGGTTTGGTGCATTAAACATGTCAATAGATTTTAAAACAACTCTATGAAATTTACTTGGTATTCAATGAAATAACTTTATAGACTAAATTAATAAGTCTTGAATTTCAAGATTGTTTCTTATGAGCTAAAAAAAGGGAGAATGAAAACAAAAAGTTCAAGAAGAAAGCGTGGATCTTCTCTCTCAAGGTTTTCACCTCACTTCATAATTAATACATTTGCCTTCCTCTTTTGGCTTCTTATGCTATGATGAATATTGCTGCTAATATCAGATCTCATCATCCTTCTCTAACCTGAACTTTAAGTGGGTAATTTTTAAGCATGAATTTTATGTGGTTGCAGTCGTCATTAGTTAAATTTTTTGGATCCAGCCAGTGATGTCTGTTTGAGTCCTGACATTACTTTCAGGCCCCCATCAATTGTTATTGTTATTATTATTATGATAAGTCTCATTCAATGTTATTATTGTTTGCTATACTTTCATTTTAAGTAACTATTCTTCTTTCAGGTGTCGTGGATCAATGAATTGAGAAGTAATCTGAGTTACCAATCCTGGTATGAGTATTATTTTTTTTCATGTTGAGTTTTGTCCTCATTTTATTATTATTTTTTCCTTACTATTTTATTTTCAATTTCCACAGGTCATTTTTTTGGCGCATGTTGTGAAGTTGATAAATTTTTGTATAGGTTTGCAGCCTTTTCATTAACTTCCTCTTTTTTTTTTTTTTGGGGGGGGGGGGGGGGAGGGTTGTGCTGCTTGTGTGCTTCCATAACTTATTGCAGTCATTGGACTTTGTCACTGTTTTTTTACTTTTTATTGAAGGTGCATTTAGTTGTGTTGAATGCTTTGGTTGGTCCTGTACCTTTTAGGAAACTACCACATATATATATATACTAACATGCTCAATGTTAATTTCAAAATTTTTCAACTTTTCCATTTTTCGGTTCTTAACTCCACAACAATTGGTTTGTGGCGACGTAATGGGGAAATTTTAGACGGCATGAAATTGAGGTGATTGTCATCATTAAAGATGACTGGTCATATATATTTATATGTATAGGGAGAGAGATAGGGGCAAAGGCAAGGACATCATTATTGGTTTTTTTTTGGGTTTTTTTAGGCAAATGGCATGTTTTTGGTTTTAGGTCAACATTAAGGTCCTCAATGGAACTTATAAAAAATATATGTACATTAATATAATTAAGGACACCGATTCGAAAAACATTGTGGCAAGATACATAGAGTTAGTATAATACAAGGTAAAAGAGTTCGTATTGAGTTTATTTATTTATTTTTTATTATTATTATTTTGATATTTATCATTATTATTACTTTGACAACAAAGAACAATTGCAAAAAAATAAAAACAAATACATCTCTATATCCTCAAGCTATCCACAAAATTTACAAATTCCTCTATAGATTTTAAAGCCCTCTTGAAATATAGAAAAATAAAAAAATCAAAGAATTCAGAATGTACTGCTATAGCACCCAAATCGAAGTTTCCACACCATCAAAGGACCTGCTATTCCTTTCACACCACATTTCCCACCAAATTTAGTGAGGAACTTCCCTTTATGCATATCAAACTTGTCTTCTCACAATACATAATACATTAGCTCCAAAGATTTGGGCTTGCCCATTGTGGAAGTTGGCAACACCAGTTGCACCCCAAAAATTGGCAAAAAGCATTGTCTAAACATCCTTAGCGTAACGGGTGGGCACTTACCCATTTATCCAAAAGCTCAAACTATTGGGTAGTGCTGCATATTCACCCATTTATACCCAATCATTTTCTCATTCGGATCCAATGTGGGACAAATGACCCTTGTTACATTTTCCCCTACCCAAACTCGCAAAGCCCTCGTTGTGGCTCGGGCCACCCTGTCTACCCCGGCTGCAAACCCGGACGCCCTCCGGGCCTGGTGCTTGGCGTGACACTGGATGAAGGATTGAGTCTGGTTTTGATACCAATTGTAACGAGTGGGCGCTTGTCCATTTACTAAAAAGGTCAAGCTATTGGGTAGTGCTGCATATCCACCCATTTATACCCAATCACTTTCCCATCTGGATCCGATGTGGAACAAATGACCCTTGTTACACCTAGTTACTAGGCAATGCAAAAGGAGATGACTCATTGACTCCTCATCCCTCTTGCACATGTAACACCAATTGATCACAATCTGCCGCCTCTTTATAATTTTCAAGGGTCCAAATCCTTCTGAAAGTCTGTCCAAAAAAATTAACCTTTAAATGGTTAAATATTACTCCATGATTATAAAGGTTAAAAATTAGTAGTAGCAACATCATATAATCATTGTTATAAAGGACATAATTAAGGTTGAATAAATATTATGGACTAAGTTGTAGTATTAAAGAGAGCTTTAAGATATAGAGTGCCATTGGTATTATGTGATGAGGTTGGAGGGTAAATATGAAACAAGAATAGAAATATAAAGTGGCATTATGGGTGACTTTGGATGTACTAATGTGCAACTATGAAATAAAACTATTGTTTAAAGACATAATGATATTATTGTTTTAAATAATTAACATTGATGACAAACATGGACTTATGAATACTTATGAAGGCCTGAAGGGTACAAGTGAAAAGAAGGTAGATGATGGCATGATTGTGACTGTTACATGTTAAGGGCAAAAACAGAACAAATGTTGTTGATTACCACAATATATGAAACTGTCGACCACCACCTTTTATGTTTAGCAGTAGAGAATGCTTTGTGTTGGTGGTGGTATGTTTTACCAGCATCTAAAGATATTTTTAGTTTGCCTAGAAGTTACATTATAGACTAGATATTTTTCAAACTACTTGTATTGATCTTGTAGATTGCTGCACCCTCAAACTTATATCCTATACGAACATTTGTTCTGTCTGCCTTACTAGGTTTTCTCTTCTCTAGATTCCTAAATTCAGCCATCTTGTGGTAAACTTGGGTCATATATTATTTTAAAGGCCTAATCCACCATCCGATTGGCCCGCTTGAGGTATCAGAAGCAAAATAATCAGCATCTGTTCTGTTTGCATAACTTTTAAGTAGATGTTTTGATATTATCTTATTTGTGCTCTTGATTTGGTTCCCACTCATATAACAAAACTAAAATGTGAAGCAAAGAAGATATTAATTAAGTAAAGCGAAACAAAGCTAACTAAATGTCTTCTTATATGAAAAGGTAGGCACAAAGAGGGTGAGAAAAATATTTATAAATTAGCAAAGAATATAGATAATCAACTAAAGACCTAAATCAAAATATATGTATTAAGGGTGTGGATAACACAATACTAGTCAAAGAAAGTGATATATTAACTGGATAGAAGACTTACTTTCAAAATCTATTGAATAAGGAATATCCTAGAGGAGGAGGAGGAAATGAACTTAACATGGGTATGATAAATGAAGTCACCAATAAGGAGGTAGAGGACACGCTTAAGAAGACGGGGATTAATAAAGCGGTAGACCTGGATGATATACCTATAGAAGCTTGGGGAACATTAGGTAACATAGGAATTGAGTGGTTAACAAAGTTGTTTAACAGTATCCAAAAGCAAGGGAATGTGGCAAATGAGGGGATAAAAGTACAATAGTACTATTTTACAAAAGTAAGGGGATATATGAGAGAGGATACTAGAACAAAGACCGTGTTATTTGATAACCAATTCGGATTCATGCTGGGGAGATCAACAATGGAGGCTATATACCTATTTAGGCAATTAATTGAAGAATGTAAGAGTAAGCAACAACACTTACATATGGTTTTATAAACTTGGAAAAAGCGTATGATAGGGCCATGCAATATAATTTGGCGCGTCCTACAAAGAAACAAATGCCCTTATAAATTATAAAAGTATCCAAGATATGTATACAAAAGCTTTTTTGGACAACCCTTTCTCGACCAAAGGTGCTAACGGCGCTGAAGTAAGCCTGATGAAGATAAAGCCGGGATTTCCCTACGAGGCATTGGGAAGGGGAGGGCTAAAAAATGGACTAACGAGCCCTTCGCAAAGCTGTGTAAACGGAGGGTGAAACCCCCTACATGCCGGAAACGAAGATGAGATGGAGATTGGGCCATTTCTGCTGTTTCTTGTATGACTTTTCTTCTACCGAAGGAGGAGCGAGCAAACCTGTATGCCTGCGCACAGATACAAAACCTAAAAGTTGTACCACGTATGGTGACACTAGTGAGTTTTCCATAAATGTAAGATTGCACCAAGTTTCGGTGCAAAGCCCATATCTATTTGCAATAATCTTAGATTAGATAACAAAAGAATCCGAAAACAAGATTCCATAATGCATGATGTTTGCCAATGATATGGATAGTACTTGAGATGGCAACCGTTGACCATATTGGGATGCACGAAGCCATCTATGGTCCTTAATCTGTATGCCCGTCGCCTTGAACTCATGAATCAAGAATGGTCCTTCCCAGTATGGTGACCATTTACCCAAACCTCTCACTTTTGATCTAAGTGGTAAAGATGACTTTCCAAACCAGCTCATGAACTCGGAAGGAACGAACCTTGACTTCTTTGTTGTAAGCTCGGGCAACCTTATTCTTTTGGGCTTGCAAATGATCCAGTGCATTAAATGTTTTTCATCAACATCATCCAACTCGATACAGGCAATACAACATCATGACCATAAGTGAGGGCGAATGTGTGGTGCCTGTGGCAGACTGTGGAGAAGTCCTAAATGCCCACAAAGCATCTAATAATAGATCATGCCATACCCTTGGATTTCTCTTAACAAGATTTCATTATGCATGATGTTTGTTGATGATATGGTCCTCTTGGATATCTCTAAAGAGAATTTAGCAATAAAATTAGAAACGTGGAGAAATGCTTTAGAATATAAAGGTTTGATAAAACCGAGTATATGGGTTGTTTTTTAATTGAGATTTGGTCATTGATTATATAATGATAGCACTCTAAAATGAAAAGATTACTCAAAACCACTTTTGTTAATGAGGGTCGAAAATATAAAAAGATGGAGAGATAAATAGTGATGTAACTAGTCAAGTTGGAGCTGGTTGGACAAAATGGAGACAAGCTAGTGGAATTTTATGTGATAAGAGAATAACACAAGCTAAAAGAGGACCATCATTAGACCAATTATGTTGTATGGAGCGAAGTGTTTGGCCCTAATAAATAAACAAGAACGCCTTTATGTAGTGGAAATGAGAATGTTAAGACAAATGAGTGGAGTGAAGAGAGAGTGTCACTAATGGAAGTCTCAGAAAAAAAAAAATAGGGGTAGCACCCATTGGTGCGAAAATTCGAGAGTACACTTAGATGGGTTGGATATGTACATCAAAGACCTAGAGAAGTACCGGTCAAACGAGGAAGACGAGTGGAGATCTAAAATAACATGAGATTACGTTATTAAAACTGATTTTAAAAAGTTAAATATAGTAGGTGAAATGGCTTGTAATAGAAAAGCTTGGAGATGGAATTCATGCGGCTGACACAATTCATATTGGATTAAGGCAAGGATGATGATGATGATGGTTTGGTTCCCGCTTATTATGTGCATTAAAATCTGGAGTTGCCATACTTATCTGTAGTGATGGTTTTGGTATTTATATGCATCTAGTGATTTTTCTAGTCTAAATTCATATCTGCTTTTATGAACACTTGTGGTTTGAAATGTATGATTTATCTGTAGTTCTGTCTTTTGTTCTTTTATAGTTTCAGGTTACTGCAAATCTTTTGATGGTATTGATCTTTCTTTTTTTCTTTTGTGTGTGTGTGTGTAGCTTTACAGCAAACACTTGTCAAGCTAGCTTTCCTCGAGTTTACAGTGCGCTATTGCTCAACAGTTTTGCTATCGGATGTCGCGACTGTTAAAAAAGGAAGATGAATGAGTTGCAGCAGATATCACTGGATGCTTTTATCATCATTTGTATGTTTCCAAAACACAATGTTCAGACAAATTTTAATGTTGTTAGCATCAATTATGTTTTTTTCTTTAGTCATACAACACCAATAAATAATTAAGGATTCATAAATATTTGGACACCGTGTGATATGAAAACATTATTTTAGTCTAATATATAGAATTAAAAATTAAATAATTTGAATATTTAGCAGTGCCATCGTGCCTTCTTTTTTTGGATTTGACATGTGACGCTTCGATATGTACCCACACCTGTCACACGTCCATGCAACAGTCTATCATGCCTATCAGTTCAAATCTTGATTGTCACAAGTCCTGTCCGAGTAAAGAATTTGGATAATACTGGAGCCAGAAATGATGAATTTTGATGGTAATCTGATTATTGCTTAGTAAAACTAAATCATAGAATATTTATGCAAACCGAGTGTTCTTTATTGGTTTCTTTTTTGTGGTTCCTGAAACTGAACCGTGAATGATTCTTGAAGGGAAAATGTGAATAAAAGTAGATGGATTGTTGGAAATTGCTCTTGGCACTTCTCTGGTTGAGCCTTTTTCCATTTGTATCTTTGCCAGCACTGGACTATTTTAAGATGTTATTTATACAACTTGAACCCTCAATCAGTTTCTCACAATAGAATTTATGCCTTTAGCTATACGACAGTTTGAGGGTTTTCCCAAAACATTTATTTCTGGTATTTGTTTTAAATCAACGCCAAACGTTATTTGTTTATTTTTGATTGAAGCTGTTTATCATAGTTAATTCTTAGGAGCTGTGTGAGTAATGATTTCTTGCTCACCGGTAAGCAAGAAACTTTCTCCACACCACGCATGGTGACCGTTGGATATGATTTAAGTATAAAAAAGGTAATTACCAAAAGAAGATAACAATCATGTCCGACTGTCACCACTCTTGGAGAGGATAAATTTCTTGCTCAGCAGTGAGTAAGAGATCATTTATATATATTAACACTCTACGGCTCTCAAACTACTAAGAATACATCCTCTGATGGTTGATTTCAACACTAACAAGCTTAAAATCAATTCTGGAAAATATATATATATATATATATATATATATATATATATATATATAAAATTGAGTTCTCAACCAATTAGGTCTGGATGAGAAACCAAGCACATTTGTAAACTGAAACTGAATGTTGGAGATGAGATGTGGATTTTACACATCTTTTGACATCAAAATTGGAATATTATTTCTTCTTTTTCAATATATGCATATATATTTTCTCCAATTGGGAGTATTGGAGTATGATTCTATTGGTTTGGTAATTTTGCGGCTTAGAAACTCTAACTACTAAGAAATCATGTCATATTTCTTGCATGAGATTGGGTGTTGATGCTATATTTTTATTTTGTTTTAGGTCGTGGTTGCAGTTCTTGATAGAGCAACATGATGTGATTATGGTGATGCTTTTGCAGTGGTATTTTTGCCTACTTGTCAAAGAGATGAATTACAGACTCGTGTGCATATTCTTGTAGATACCTCTCGGTTGCAGATGAGTTTCTCCTCTATAAAAACTGTAAATCGGTTTATCATTTTCTTTTGCTTTCGTTGCATTTTGGGAATTTGATACTATGTACAGACTTGTCTTAATTCTTCATTCTTTAATATATAATATAGAAATTTGTTCTTTTTCAGCACATACATACTTCTCTTAATGTTTAATTGTTAGTGAAGAAACTTTGTACCCTCTGGCACTAAAATGCATGTTTATGTCTTCAGTCTCATGTTCAAACCATACAAGGATTAGAGAAAACTCTTATAATTTTGCATTTCACTCTATATTAAGCATCGTTTATCAAAACTTAACTCAGGCAGGATGCCCTAAAACTGATGTGTTCCCATCATATGTTCTTCTAGTAGATATGAAATGGTTACATATGTATGAACCCCCGTATGTTTTTATGGTTAGTAGTTGTCAATTAAAGATTTGGACTCGCTTCAAAAATGTTAAAAGCCCTATCTGGCAGTCATATGGATACAAAATGCAAACCTGATGACGGAATGTGTCCAGAATTTTGGTGTGTGAATTAATCGAAATCAGCTATTAAGCCCATAAACCCCTTGGTGGTCAAGGATCATGTACCAAAGATTTGGTTGTGATCGAGAGTGCCAATCCTGCAGGTCACCTTCTACGGATGTCTTTTATACCTAAATTAAGATAATTAATAACCCACTTGAAAGGAAAGAAGATACAATATCAACAGTAGTTCCATATAGATGGGTTCATTGAGTGGAATTTAGGCTAAATTTGAGTTCGTTGAAGGATCATTTTGTGAAAAAATTGATGCGAATAATATGTTTGTTGCAGATGATGTAAGTTATATAAAGTGGTTGTGGGTAACTTGAAGCTTGATCGTCCTAATTTCCTTTGTAAATTGTCTTTGCCAATGCTTTTAAATTAAGATTGTTTGGATGATATAAACCTCAAAACTAGTCTTAATTATTAGTTTTTTTTTTTTTTTTTTTTTTTTTTTTTTTTTTTTTGTACACTCTTTTGGCGCAGGAGTGAATCAAGTAGTATATCCAATTCTAACTGCTGTGGCGGGAGGTCTTGGGGCCCTCTGGTATGTGTTATCTTTGCCTCCCTCTTTACATTAGCGCTGAGGTGGTCATGTCTTCTGATACAGTGCCCAATACATATCACACAACTAAACCAATAATAGCAAATCTCCATTAAAAACTAATAATAATTACCCAAAAGAGTAAAAGGGTTTATACACACGACGAGAGATTGAAATGTGAAAAACAGCATTTGGAAGAAGTATTCTGTATTTGTGAGAATGTTGTAAATGATGGGATTAAACCCTTGCTCCGCAGCACGGCGAAATCCAAAGTCCAATTGTAGAAGGAAGTATACATGGGTTTGAGGATGTTACAACACGTACTTTAGATTAAAATGCAAGTTAAATAAAACCCCATTTTTGGTTTATTGGTCAAAAAGTAATGAACCAATTCATCTCTGTTCTTGTTTGCAGACCAGTTGAAGAATTTCTCAATTCGCATGTGGTGTCTTTCTTTGTTATTCTAATCCAAATTGGGTTTTTTTTTTTTTTTTTTTTTTTTTTTTTTTTTTTTTTTGTAATAAAAGACTATTGTTGCAAACCAAAATGTCACTTAAAAAACCTAAAATGTCACTAAAATGATATGAAAATGGTAAATAAATAAATGTTGATGGAAGTGACTTTGGGCCAAGTGGTATCTCAGAGGTTTAAGAGTCAACAAATATTATCTACCGAATAACTTATGAAGAATTACACACAATGGTTTGTTAGTTTGAAGGGTTTATTGATGTTTTTACTGGTGTGTGTGTGTGTGTGAGAGAGAGAGAGAGAGGCTTCAAATTGTGATAACCACTTAGAGATGTGGCACATTTCTCTCATGTTGTACTTAGTTGGGACTACAATTGAATGTAACAACTAGTTTGAGTTAAAAACTATTTAGGCGCAGCAATTGGACACTATGATGCCAAGTACAACGTATCTGAGGCATGCTTCCGACCTTAGCTCAAAAGGAAGAGTTAGAAAAGGGTTGGACAAGATCAGGGTTCTTATCCTGAAATTGCTTGAATCCTTTGGTAGTCGGTTCGAATCCGGCAGGTCGGCTTCATTCTGCTTCATCTATTTTCAGATGGGTAGTTGAAGGGTTTTTTTTTTTGCTATTTATTTATTTATTATTATTATTATTATTATTTTCTGTTTGGAAATGAATGTATCCATATTTTTTTTACATTAAATAAGATGAATTGCATGTGCATCTATGATTTGTGATGGAGAAGAATATGCAATATTCATCACATGGTCACATGCACTCCAATCGTTCCAGACAAACACAAATCATGTGCATTTGAAGGGAATATAGAGGACATGGATCATGCAAAGACCAAGAAATTTCAAAATCAGTTCCAAAAGGCCCAAATGTATCTTGGTGGATGAATTAATCAAACGCTGTGTTTGGGACTACTGAATCGATAACTTTTTCTTCATAAGTGGCACTCCTTAATTCGGTATTCTCAAACGCAACAAAAACAAAAGTGAAAAGGGCAATTGCTTAATTTTATAGTTGTAAAATTAGTTTATGAGATATTTATAGCATTTTATCTCTCACATTGATGAGGTTCAGTGGGGGGGCCAACATGCAAATTGTACTTTGATCAACTTACTTTTGGCGGAAGAACCATTAAGCAGACAAATAAAGCAAAAACATTGGGAAGTCAAGTTATTGGTTGCTATTTATGGAGTTTGAAAAATAGTAACGGTCATTAAACCCAAACTGTAGTTTTTTTTTTTATTTTTCTCTTTTACTACAATAGAAATTGAACTGCAGAGACTGATGTTTTGATATGGGTCTGTAATGTTATGCAACATCTACATCATCAAATATACAAGAAAAAGCAAAAGGAGGTGGAGCTGGGAATTTGTTGGTTTGACCGCATATGCGGTCAACATGTTGCACAACCGACATGATGTAACGGAATCAGACCTGAGACTTGAAAACTAATATTAGTTAAAAGTTCTAAGTGAATTATGATCGGAGTTCGTTTGCTTTGGTTTTATATAAAGATAAATTATTTACTTCGACATCTTCATGTTTTAGTATGTATCACTAGGTTTTTAGCTGGACTCGTGACATCTTCATGTTTTATATATGTATCGCTGTATCATCATCGTCATTGTCTCTACTTCCATTACTACATAGTGTCATTCTTTGATGCCACTAATTTGTAAGGAAAATGACAAGGACTTGTTTGTTGGTTGCCTTAATTTACCCTTTATTTCTCCTCCTCGTTTTGTCCCACTTGAATTTTTAAGTCCCTTTTAAAATCATATTTGCCATCATTTTCTTTTATCCATGTGCATGTATCGTGCTATGCTAGTATTTCAATAACTCTGTTAAAATAGTTTTGCAATTGGTACCTTCGTGCCTTTCCTTGTCGGTTGTACTACTCTTCTTTATTTATTTATTTTATTTTTATATTCGGCTCTTCTCTTCTTGACAGATTCATACATGTTCTATACGAATTTAAATCCTTTCTTGTGCAGGTGAGGGTTCATAATTTTTGAACGGTCCTATCACTACGTGCAGGGAAGCCTTTCTCGACAATGAGGATCGTACTATGTTAAAATAGTTTTGCAATTGGCACCTTATTGCCTATCCTTGTCTGTTGTATTACTTTTTTTTTTTTTTTGGCTCCACTTCTCGACAGATTTATCTATGTTCTGTATGAATTCAAACCCTTTCCCGTGCGTGTGAGGGTTCATAATTTTTGTAGGGAAGTCTTTCTCAACAATGTGAACCCTTCGAAAACTCTTTTTTCACACGTCCCTATATGGTAAAACTGATCTCGATGTCTCTTTTCCACAAATTTATCCATGTTCCGTATGGATTCAAATCCTTTCCTGTGTAGGCGAGGGTCCATAATTTTTGGACGGTCCTATGACTACATGCAGGGAAGTTTTCCTGGACAATGTGGACCGTCCAAAAAGTATAGGATTCCGTCATGCAATGAGAGAATGACTCTTTTTTCACATGTCCCTATATGATAAATCTGATCTCAATGACTGCACACTAATAAGATTATTTTCCTCTAACTTATTGTGGAAGATAATCTGATCTCGATGACTGAACACTGGTGATATTATTTCATTCAATTTATTGTGTCTCCATTTCATCCATGGTTTCGAACCTTATCAAAGGAGGGAAAGGAATTGAACCGAGGTCAAATTAATTAATCACTTGAATTCAATCAGTTAATATTCATTTTTATTCTATTGAACCATACTGTGTTAGCTTACTCTCCTGCAATTTAGAATGTGTACACCATGCAGAAGCTGCTACAATGCTGTAATGCTGTGTTTTGTGAATGTTAAGTTTGGATTTTCATTTGGTAAGTTTCTTTTTGTCATTTTTACAGGTTATAATGTAGTTGTTTTATATATAGATATATTTTTGGGTTACGTAAGACTTGCTTGGTTTGTATCAAGAACTTTAAAAATAAAAAACTATTTTCAGAGAATTAAAAAAGTAGTAATTTGAAAACATACAATTTTTGTACATAAATAAAAGCAAAAAACTGAACCAAACATAATCAAAACAGAATTTTTATATAATTTTTGATTTTTAATTATCTAAAAAGATATATTTATTTTTTTATAGTTACAAATCAAATAGACCCTTAATTTTTAATTTAATTTTTTTTTACTCATCCTACACAAACACACCACACATGTTGACGTATGATTGGTGCTTTTTCCTTTGCCTAAACACTTTCCTTTTTAAAAACAAATATATCCATTTGCTATCTTCTTATAGGTTTCATCTTCATGATGGTGAAAAAGCAGAGGTTGAATTCTTGTATGGGGAACCGGTTAGAGATGCAACTTGTATTCCATGATAGGGACTTGCTTCAAGTCTGTTATGGTCCCCCTCTAATAACATAATTACATGTATAGACATATTTTTTTAAAAAATAATTAAAATTAAAATTTACCTTTTTCCGCTTATTTGTTTCCGTCAATAATAACATAAAAAAAAGAGTCACACTTAATGTAAAGGTTTAACATGGTTCAACTTATAATCTACGCTCACGTTCAAGATTGGTGAAGAGATTTGACTAGAAAAATAGCGGGCAAAGTGAGAAAAAAACCCTTAATATTTAAATATTGAACAAATATTGCCCCTAACATTTTTTTTGGGTTTGAAAAAATGATCAAAGAAGGGTTTGAAGTTACTATTTTGTTACAAATTTAGTCACGTGTATTGTGAAAATACCCTTTTTTTTTTCTTTCAATAATGTCCTTGTATATAAGAATAACAAGAGAAAAAAAAAAAAAAAAAGACACTTTAATCATTTCACATTTAATTTTTTTTTAATTATTTTTTATTCAGTCATATAAGGATACTTTAGTCTTTTTACCATTTAGGCCATTCTTTACTCAAAGTTGAATGTTAGTGAATTTTCATAATATATTGATAGTTATACACTCTGTATGCAATATGCATATCATAAGAATATTTTTTGCTTTCAACCCTAAAAATATCTTTATACCTTTATCTCAATACACTCTTTTTGTTTCACTCTCTCTCTCTCTCTCTCCTTAGAATTTCAGTGTTCTACGAGAACAATACAAACCATGACACTTATATACCGAGTCACAATAGAAATTAAAAACAGGGTCGAACCCCGCAAATTAAAAACAGGTGAAATAGGATCCATATATGATTGAGTCAAAGTTGTGAACCGGGGCGAAAAGAGTATTGGGACAACAAACTTCATATCTTCTTTTGGGCAGCAATTTATAGCATCGTCAAAAGCAAGTGCATACTCCAAGAAAAACAAGCTACAATTGAAGTCAAAATTGGGGATGCATGAAACATATGGAGTACATCATGACTGTATTGCAATAATTTTATTTTGAGTCAAAATTGGGAAATGATTTTGTATCCAAGTGTATGATGTATCTGCACAACAAATTGATTTTTTTTTTTTTTTTTTTTTTTAATTTCCGTTTGAATTTACGTTGCTTCACTTCACTTAATTTTATTTTATATATTTATTTATTTTTATATAATTTTTTTGACACACCACTTAATTTTGTATACTCATCCATCCCACCGTTAGAAATGAAAAAGACAAAATTACTCTTCAATCTGATTTTTTAATATGTAGGAAAATAAGAATTAAAATTCTCATTTGTACGGTGCATCTATCCCAATCAGTAAGAAGAATTAATAATACACGTTATAAAAATGTTATAACATTTAACCTTACATGCGAACTTTTTTTTTCTAAAATGATGGCTGTATCGCAAAAGAAGACTTTAATCCAAAAAAACAGAGACTTATCAAAGACCTAGTGTGAACGTCTGATCGGACAGCCACTTTCTTTCTCATCTATATATCTCTCTCTCTAAATGTATCCACATAATGATATATATACACACTCATATCATATGTATATATAATAATAATTGTATAGTGCTCCTATACGCTAAAGAAGATGTTGAAGCAAAAGTAAGTGTGGAAATAGCAACTCTCTTTTGTTTAATCTTTATTTATAAAGAAAAAGAAAAAAAAACACAAAGGCTTCCTAGAAATGACACGCGCATACGCGCGAACAACACCTTATCCTCACTCGCCAATTAAAGGCGAATCAACACGCACACAATTCACAACACGCATGTTAGTACGTGTATGTACAGCTCTAAAGTCTCTACACAACTATCATCAAATCAACGATTTCTCTTCACTTCTCTCCTCTTTGCTAATCCCAAGTACTACTATCTCACTTCCCTTCCCTTCCCTCCCCTCCCCCTCCCCCTCCCCACATTCCTCAAGCCCTAGGAAACAAAAAGAAAATTACTCTCATATAAATAAATAATAAAAATGAAAGGAGCATCTCCATCCCTTTCCCTTTCCCTTTCCCTTTCCCTTTCTCTCACTAGCGTCTTTTTCGCTTTTGTCTTTCCCTGTCTTTGATTAAGATCCCTTTTTAATTACATTACTAGATATAGATCTCTCTTTCCATCTCTCTCTATCTGCAAAATCTACACTGTCAGCTTCTAGTTCAGACTCGGAGCTCGTCCATAAATTTATATATTTATATATATTTACACACACATATGTATAATTCTTTATAGTTTATAAGCGAATATATAAAGAAATGCAAATGGGGTGAAAAAGGTTTGTAAAGCTCATTTGCCTAAAATTATTAGCTTGGATAGAATAGACACAGAACAGCAGTGACAGAAAGAAGAAGAAGAAGAAGAAAGTGGGTTGGTTCAAGATTAACAATGGGGTCGGAGCATAACGGATTTCCACATCAGCAAGAACCACCACCACCACGGGTATTTCCCATTCAGATCTAATCAGTCTTTGTTATATTTGCTTTGCTTTTTAATTATACAACATATAGATGCACATAATATTTGATTTTTTAATATATATTTTTTGATAATTTCGTGCATTTATTATCTATATATTACTGCAATTGTGTTGTAATGTGGTTTTCTTGAGTGAGCTGTTTTAGGTTGCTGCAATTGCATTTCCACAATGTTGGTTCTTTCGGTCAGATCTGTTGTGGGGTGGGTTCGTTTACTAAGAACCCTCTCAGCCACTTCACATTTAGGTTGTAAGACTCTTTGTTGACCACAACCCCTCTACTTATTTGTCAGAGTTATTCTGGTTGATTGGAGTTTTCCTTCTTAGCCAGATCTGATCTGATCTGGGTCGGTAGGGGATTCTAAGCCGGTGATGTTCACTTTACACGAAATGTGTCACTTCTCTCTTGTGGCTTGCTACTTGCTTGTTGGGTTATCTTGCTTTCGTGTTTGAGGAATCTACTGGACTATTTCCTAAATTGACACTTAAACAGCTCAATACAATCTGCATGTCTGTAGGGGAAAGGGTTTGTTTGTGATATGAAGATAAACCTGCTTATGATTGGATGTCTACTAAAGCAATTTTGATTAAAAAAAAAAAAAAAAAAAAAAAAAATCTCCTTTGAAGATGTTTCAGATACTTGCAACTTAAAAGTCTTAATTTGTTACTCAAGACTGAAACAGACCAAGCAATTAATTGCTTCTTAGGCAGTCAAATACTCTGCAGGTAATAGATTTAGCAAAGTTTTGGCTTTTAATTTTTATCATTATGTATTTTATGGAAGTTTATCTGGTTTTTGACTTTCTTCCAATTTTTTTTTTTTTTTCAAATCTATATACGTGTTTGTGTTTTTTTGTTTTTGTTTTGATAAGTAAGATTTCATTAAAGACCCTCAAAAGGGGAGCGCTCCCAGAAACAACCAAAGACGCCCTAGGTGCCACTATAATTTCAAACTATCCACAACCTCCAAAAGATGCCCCAATGATAAACAATTAGACCCATTAACCCAAAAAAATTAAGAACACAATATGTTGTATTTGAGAGACCAAATAGGAGATTCCTCTTTATCAAAAGATCTCTTATTCCTCTCGAGCCACAATCCCCACCATAAACAAAGGGGGCAGCTGCTGCGGCCCTCCACGCATCCCTGGCTCGGCTCTCCACTAACTATACACCCTCTCCAAGCCTCCAACATGTCAATTGTAGAAGCGGGTGACACCCAATTCATTCCAAAGATAATCAAGAACATAGACCACACATCCCTCACCATTGGACAGCGGAGGAGGAGGTTGTTCATTGATTCTCCCGACTCCTTACACATGCAACACCAGTTCGCAGAGTTAGGTGGAGTCCTTACCTCTTCTATATATCATTGTCAACTCATATATTTTATTTGATATTAATTTATGTTTCTTTATGTTATTTTTCATGTTCTTTACTAAAAGACATATTTAAATATTTATATAGGGAATTGATTGGAGTGGAAGATTATGCAATAAAGGAAGTAGAAATTATTTATTTTTGATAAGTAGCTATTACTAAAATTCCTTAAGAGTAATGTTAATTTTCATATAAGATAAGCATCAGAAGTACATCTTGTGCATATTTAAAGATGAAGTTTGGGCTTAGTTAAGGTGTTTTCACAAAATGTATATGGTATTTTGTTGCATTAATTTATAAATTGGATATGAAATTCTCATAAAAGGTATTAAATTTATGATGTTTCTGAAAAAAAATGATTCACACAGTTGTGGAAAATACTTTTCCAAGATTGCAGATCATATCATCCATGATGATATTATATTAATATTACATATGCTTCTTTTTCTTGTGAAATGTATCGTGTTGTATACTTGTAATATAATAACATCAAGATGGGTCATAAGGCATAAGTTGGGGCAATAGGTAATGATATCTTTTCTTTTCTATTTTCCCCTTTTGGGATTTCCTTTGGACATAATGGAAAAAGGACAGGGTATAGCATGTGGAGGATGGAGATAGGGTTTTAAATGCACCGAGTAGTCTATTCGAGCTCGGCTCATTCTTTTGTGGGTTCAGCTCGGAATCGTGATGAGTTTGAAAAGTTGTGCTTGGGTTTGGCTAGACTCTTAAAATGCAACCTTGTATTGTATTCGTGTTGGGGCTCAGTTTGAGCTCGTGTTAAAGACTGCTTTGGCTCATTGATAAACTTATACGAGCCTACACAAGTCTATGTTCATCAACGAGTTCAGCCAGCTCATTTACTAAATGAGCTAAAAAATTGAGCTCGAACTCGATTAGTGTACTCATGAACTAGCTAGCATCGTGTTTTAAATGAGTCCATCTCGAGCTGTTTATGAACAGTTTGGTTGATTTGCAACCCTACATGGGGGTAACAATTTGGAATACTGTCAACTTTTTTTTAGGGTAAATTACCCTGAACTCCCCTAAAGTTTTGCACTTGCACGTGTAGAGCTTATTCAAAAAGTGTGGTTAACATTCACTGAGGTTAGGATAAAAATGCAGATTCGTCTCTTACTCTTGCTCTATCAGCTACAATATGTAAATGTGGGCTTGGATCGATGGATTTTCTGATGGTGCATGAATAGTGTAACCTCTCTCTCTCTCTATATATATGTATCAGCTACAATGTGTAAAAAAAGGGCTTCAGTTGGTTGAGTTACCTTAGTCCAAGGTGTTAATCCCAAGGTTTCAAGTCAAGGCATCTTGGAAATTTTGATGATTACAACCTATTAATGTGGGAATTTAATATTCTACTTTAGCATGGTGATTTTTAGGAAATTCTATAAAACTCAAGTACGATATAGATCTATGGAATTAAATGCTCAAGCTCAAATATGTATCAAGCCTGTGGCAATGGAACTCAAAGTTGGAGATCAAGTTCAAGACCATGGGGCTAAGGGGTTGGTGAGAGCTAGAATCCTTGTAAAGCAATATATGTCGCATGATGATTCAAAAGTCAACCCTTAGGATTTAAAAATAAGGACCTAAGCTTTAAAGTTAAATCAAATGTTTTTTAAGGTCCCTAGGAAAAATGACTTAGCCCATACACTTACAACTATTTTTATTAAAATGGACCAAATAGTCATTCGGGGTCACTTTAGCGCCAACATTGTTTTATTCAAAAATTTGAATTGAACTAGATGTCTTCTTGTTTTAACGAGGCACTGAAAATGCCAAAGGATCAGGTAAAGGCCCCAAGATGTCTACATGATTCCACAAGACGTCTTCCCCTTGTAGGGTTGGCAAAGAACTGAGAGCTCAGAAATCTCAGGTGTTAGCCAACAAGACATCTACCCCTTGTAAAAGTGGCAAAGAGTTGAGAGCTCAGAAATCTCAGGATATGCTAACAAGACGTCTACGAGGGAATGGAACAGGAACAGGAACAGGAACGCGCTGAGACAGGGACGGAGCCAGCATGGGCCCAGGGGAGCACCACAAGATGTCTACATAATACCACAAGACGTCTTCCCCTTGTAGAGTTGGCAATGAACCAAGAGCTGAGCTTAGAAATCTCAGTTGTTAGCCAACAAGACTCCTTCTCGTTTTCACAAGATGTTGTTTACCCTTTGTAAAAGTGGCAAAGAGTCGAAAGCTTAAAAATCTCAGGATATGCTAACAACATATCTACGAGGGAATGGAACAGGAATGCGTTGAGACAGGGATGGAGCCAGCACGGGCCCAGGAGGGCACCTTAACCCACCTTCCCCACCCCGCAGGCGGGCGGCCCCATTAATTTTATTTTTTTTAATCTTAGGTAAATAATTTATAAAATACCCTCTGAAATTATCCTCTTTTTTTTTTATTAAATTTCTCTAATTCCTTCATTCTTACTCTTCTTCTTTTTTATGTTTTTTATTCTCTTCAAAATATTTGCATTCCCTTTATTCAATCAAACTTTTATTTTTTTCCTTCAAAGTTCTCTCATATTTTTTCATTTCATTTTATTTTATTTTTTTATTTTCCACTTGTTTTTTATTATTGTAACTGAACAACTGTAATGTGAATTTTAATAAAAAAAACCAATGGAATGTAAATGCCATTTTTTAAAAATAATTCAAACATTTTTATTTTTATTTCTTTATGAAACATTGTGCAACAAATTAGTTTCCAAACATGTTTTTGTTTTGGAATAAATCGCACCACAAAAGGGAAAAAATGTTACTATATCTGTTTGATATGAAATTGAAAATGCAAAGTAGAACTTGTTGCCAAAAAGACCCTTAGTGTTCGTATTTATGTTTTCAAAAATGTTTTATAACAATTGTTTTTTGAATTAAAAATACTATATGAATTTTGAATACTCAACTGTCACTACTGCACTGTTAGCTAATAAAAAATTATTTTATCCTGTTTAATATGGTGCCTCCCCTGAAATGAATTCCTAGCTCCATCCCAGCGCTAAGACTCACTTTAAAGGACTAAACGTCTGGCCAAAAGGACAAGATGTCTTTTTACAGCCCTGTTTCCAAACAGTCTCACAAGTACTCTAATGACTACATGAGACTCTAAATACGAGGTTCCCTCACCCATACCATTTGCGCTTCGAATTGAATCTGTAGTGAAAAACATTTGGGAAAATTTTGAAAATCTTTTTGAGCTCAACATTTTGGAATCTTTTCAAAAAGCAAAGATAGTTTTGGGGGGCTAGCTTAGAGTAATCTTAGATCTCACGGACTCCATGAAAGTCAAAGAGGTCTTCAATTCTATTCTCTAGAAGTTGAGCTTTCTTCACTTGTTTCATCTATTACTCTAGAGAAAAGAGCTTGATTTTATATCTATCTTTTGAGAGGTATTTGTAGTGAGCTTTAGTTGTAAAATCTATCTAGAAATAGGGACGCCATCCTTGTGTTGTAACTGATATATATCTTGTGAGCGATAGAACAGAAGGTTGGTGCAACCTTCTTTAAGTCTAGGTGGGTGCTGCTCATTTAGCAAGGACAGCTTGCAGGACTTGTAAAGGTTC